AATGAGTTGCAGCCTGCGCTCAAACTTAGCCCATCCGTGACGGAATTCAAGTGTTTACTCAGGCAAAAGCTTCTTAATGACTGCTTTATTTAATTAATTTAATTAATTTTATTGACCTTTGTCTTCTTTTATCATTGTTATATTCTTATTGTCATGTACTTGGTTTATAATTTTGTAATGTAAAATTGACTCTGAAAAGCCCCGTGGGGACGAGCCAATAAAGTATGTATGTATGTATGTATGTAAAGAAAAAAAAGCTAGCTTGTCCGTCTCCGTCCTCGACTCCAAGACGAAAGCAGACGACAAAATCGTTTTGCAAAGAGTGGGCTTCGAAATTTGCAGAGAGCGACAAGCGGCTCCTTTTTTTCTACAATCATGTGTTATAATGGAATTGCAAAGAAGATCAGGCTCTTTAGGTATCACTTTAGGTCGAGCCACCTTACCTCCATTTCAACGACTATTTCAAGGTGATTTAAATGTCCGATAATCTATTCGAATTTTGTACGAAATCAAAAGAAATTAGACCGAAAATTACTCGTCCAAAATATGACGACCGTAATTAAACGGTTCGGAAAGTTTTGGGTTTCGATACGTTTTCCATGGCAACGACAACGACAACAACGACAACAATATGGCTGTGATATGTTATAAAAAAAGACTTACACCTTAAACTACCTTCGGTGCCAGAGACTTAAAATTTGCGAAAAAAAAAAAAAAGAAGAAGAAGAAGAAAGCCATGAATACTTCCTTGGTACTACATCTGAAAATGCTCCTCTTGATAACTATTATCAGAGTGCCAGATTTCATGCTTGTTCCAGACAGTGCACAATCCGCCTAAAATTTCGAGCTATGTCGCTTTAGCTTTCGAATGCTTAGTGCGCCAAGAACTGCATCACCGCTCTGTAACGTAACAATACTTCAATGTTTATGAAAAAATTGGGTAGGGTTGGGGAAAAGACAAAAAACTTTAGTTTTGTTCGTATGCGTTGGGCATCTAAAACGTATCAGCTAAAAATGATTCGCAAATGATTCGCCAAAATTTGACGTAAAAATCCTTTGGTGTTGCCTTTTCTTTTTAAGCCACCCTTTGTCATGTTATCATCTCTTTGTTTAATTGTCTGCTTTATGCGCAAGGCACAGCACTTTTATGGTGCTTTAAGCACTTCTTTTAGTCCCCATAGAAAGTTACAGTGAGTTTAAATGAGGATAACGATTCGCTCTGCAACGAGACTTTGCTTAAGTCATACAAACGACTTTCCCCTGTACCGCATTGGTTGTTAACTTGCAATCTCAGTGTTTTCAAGGAGGCACTTTTCACAAAAACATCGCAAAGACTTGGTAACCAGTCTTCACTTACTTCACTGCGGATGTTGACGGTCAGATTGAGTTCAGTCAACGACGTATTTTCTTGAACACCATAACCCAGTAGAGTGGCTAGATATTCATGCCGTTCACCTTCAGTGTAGTCATTCACTGTCAAAGTGAGTGTAGTTAGCATCTTAGTTCTCGCCAGTCCCTTATTCAGATCGTACGCCCACCTTCTACAGCTCAGGGATTCGTAATCACTGACTGTTACAGCGAGAGAGGTTATTGACTCATTTACCGAGGATCCCTCTGTTAAAATGGCCGTCCAGCTGGATTCAGCACTGGTAATGTTGTTAATCGCCACAGTTAGTTCCCTTAACGAAGTGGTACTTGCAAGACCATCAGCCAAACCTTCTATCCAGTGTTTCCTTGGATGGTGAATTGAAGATTCATCAATTTTTTTTTCTTTATAACTGTTGACTGTAAGACAGAGTATTGTCAGTGAAGTGTTTTCCTCTAAACAGTTTCGTAAAAAGTTACTCCAGAAATCATGAGTGTCACTATCATTGATTACAACAGAAAGTTTACACAATGAGTTCAATGGCATCAAGCTGTAACCGAAACCTTCTGCTAGACATGTCCTCATCTCGCCATAACGACTAACTGCAAGACTGAGTGTTGTTAGTGAAGTCACTTTCGCCAAGCTGTTCACCAGTGTACATTCCCAACCTTCTGCCATGTTAGTGTAGTCGTTGACTGCAAGATCTAGAACTGTTAATGAAGAGTTTCGCAACAAACTTTCCCCAAGGTCTTTCCATACGTCCGTAGTCATGAGGTAGTTGTTAATGGTAAGATCGAGCGCAGTTAAAGATGTGTTTTCCGCCAAAGCGTCACCTAGAAGATGTGCCCAGTCTTCTGTTTCATCGCTGTTGTCAGTGATCGAAAGAGTGACTCTTTCCTTTCTAGTATCACTTACTTTAAGGAACAACGATGTCAGTGAAACAGGACTCTCAACGGGGACTTCAATGGCATTGCACGATTCATCAGGAACTACAAGCAAGTCATGCACACTTAGCCGGACATTTATGCCGTTTCCTGATAGTCCGCGAAGAACAGTCTCTGTCCCTGGTGTCAACTCGCCCCAAATATCGACCGTAAGAGAAGACAGTGCTTTGTGTCGTTTTACATTTCTCGCAAAGCAGTTAGCAACAACATCAGTTAATTTGCCGTGCACTTTAAAAGTCAGGCTTGTCAGGGGGGCACGAGCCAAGACTTCACAAAGAGCTTCTGCCCCATCACAACTCAGCTGACCCCAAAGGACTACAGTTAAGTGCTGCTTTGTTTCTAACCCTTTTTCCATCACACCAGGACAAAAATAAGCAAAGTCATTATCTGTAATTCTGCTACAGGGATCTGGATGAAAATCAAAAGTTACTGATGTCTTCTCTGCTGAATAAAGATTTTCTACTACAGAGTGCCAGTTATGAGGAGCCTCACTATGTACTGTCACTTTCAAATCATTCAAAGAACGATTTTCTAGAAGGCTGTTTCTTAGGACACTGGCGCTGAAAAGACTGAGGTTGCCAATAACACAAAGATAAAACGACTTCAGGGCAGTTTGTTGCGCAACTCTGTTACCGATAACAGCAGTTAGGCAATCTTGCATATCTCCAGAAATGATTAGAGAAAATGTGGTCAGAGCTTTATTTGATAGAAGCTTTCCTAAACCATTAATAGCAGTATCATTTAACGGCCCATAAACCTGGAGGTCAACTGAGCACAAAAGAGTATCCGCAGACAATCCAGTTTCAATAGCACTTGCCCAGGCATCACCCTGCACTCTGTGAAGTTCAAATGTTACTTTCCTCAGGGATTTTCGAGCAGCTAACCATTCACCGATGACGACAGCTGCATCACAAGGGATACTGCCATCCACTTGTACAGTGAACTCTGATAAAGTCGTGTTTCCAGATAAGCCTTCGTGTAGGGTGTTGGCTAGGTCTAATGTCACTTCAGAGTTAAAAATGCTTAAAGTCTGAAGCTGTGAGCAGAATTGTATGTACTTTGTAACAGTCGGATAATCCCATTTTTTGTCAAATGCATCGTGAATGGTAACTTCAACAGGCTTTTGTATAGTTTGAAAGCTTTTGCAGGCCTCTAAAACGCGAAATATGTTGGCACTTTGGTCATTGAAATTATTATTTATTAATGGCAAAACTACATTCATGTCCGAGAGGTTCATCTCAATATGCTGTGGAAAGGGTATGTGAGAAAAAAGAGTAGTCGCCATTTCTTCATCATGTCCACTTTCCCGGAAGCTTGCTGCGAAGAAAGTTGCAGCCGCCAAACCTCGTTCGTCCCAGGACTTCAGTAAACCTTCCGATTCCTCGTAATTTTCGCTCACTACGTTTGTGTGCAAATAGGACTGTGTGCAACTGTCCCACTTCCATTCACCCCAATTCTTCAGCTCCTCCCCAATCTGTGTGAATAGAATGCTTGCATCTCTCCTAAGTATACCAGACACGAAAAGAAACACTCCATGATATTTAACCACCAAATCATCAAAACTAAGACGCTCAAACAAATTCAATTGGTTTTCTCGCAGTTTTTGTGCAATAAAAGCACCAGCCAGGTACTCTTGGAAGGTCTTGTGGAGAAAGTAGAATTCATGTTGCGGATTTAACCTTTTCAGACTTTCTTCCTTGTAAAGAAGTCCTATGTCACGAGCTACCAATCCTTTGTATCTGATTTCAAGTGCAGCTAATTCACTTTCACGAAACCCGTGACGCTCACTTAGTAGACAAAGCCAGGCTAGCTCTCCAAGGGCAAGAATGTCCTCTTCAAATTGCTTCTCTAAGACGCTGTTTTCTCCTGGGGCCATAAGGCTGTGTTTCGCACAATAACGTCTCAAAAGGCACTGGACAACTACTTGATAAAGTTCAGTTCGGGCAGTTGGTAGTTTTCCTTTGTAGTCCTCATAAACAACACAGAGAAGGATTAAATTTAGCGGGTTATTTCGGAGTGCATTCAATAAATCGTTTTCTTTAATTTCCACTATCAGACTTTCTCCTTTTGAAGGATGCCCCGGGCCGATGTTTTGAAAATGCTTCCTGATATACTGAAAGGCATCTTCGTCTGTAAATCCTTTGATCTCCAGAAGAAGATCAAATTCGCAGTTTTTACGAAATTCAATTCCTGTTTCCTGCCGGGATGTAGCCAGGACATAACAAAATGGTAAAATTCTTCTGTTGAGGAGTTCATAAACACATGGTCGTGACTTTTCTGGAAGCTCATCAAGACCATCCAGAATAATTAAAATTCTCTCCTGGTTATCAATATCCGTGATGAAGTCAGACAGCTTTGTCCAGCTCTCCTCCTTGATATCTTCCGGCAGAAGCTGTTCTTTGATAGCTTCCATTAGATCTCCGTTTATGTCTAGACATTTAAGGAGCAGTACAAATTCGAATTTAGGAAAGGAACAATTAGTTGGCATTTCTCCACGTGCCCAGTCATAAGCAAGTTTGAGGCAAAACGTAGTTTTACCGGTTCCTGGACTTCCCTCTGCTAATGTCATTTTGATATCCTCGCTTTCGCCAAGGGCCTGGAAGATGTCGTACATGCCCAACTCTTCATTTTCAACCTGGAAGTCTGCTTTTCTTCTTGAGATAATCTTGAGTCTCGTGTAGACGTTTTTAAGCGGCAATTTCATAGTGTTTAACCAAGACAGTGGCTTCAACTTTGCCCGTCTCCCATATTCAGCTCTGAGCATTTTCAGAACAGGTTTTCTGTATCTGTCAGGAGCAAAAAACCGAACAATCTGTTAATATTCTCCTGACATTCACTGTACTTCAAATGGATTTGGTACTTCATTGGTAAACCAAGACAAGAGATCATATTACATGTTATGTTATCTAGATAACGATAAATATAATAAGACACTGGAGAGATTGGAAGAAGAAGGAAGCATAAAATAAAACAACATTTCCAGGAGATGATTGCACAAATTGCGGTACATCACAATAAGTAGGTTGAGCACGATCGTCCGAGTGAACGAAGAATACGTTGGAAACAATTGTTTCATAAAAGCATATATTTAAAAAAGTTTTGTTCTCGCGAGTATATTGCTGATGTTCAGTCTAAGATTCAAGCGTACCTTTATGAAGAGGTTTATTGACAAGTATAGGTTTCTCGTAAACTGAACAAACCGCAGTGGCTTTTACGGAAAAATCCTGCTCATCCCCACTGCAGCCTAAAGAAAAAAACAAAATCAAAGGATCCGTTGACGTGAACTCTTGAATTGAACATAAACAATTTTTATAAACCTCCCAAGGCCGGCTAGACAATTCAGCTTATTGTAGTTGCTTACTGCAGTTTATTAAAGCTTACGACGAAGAAAGTCCAGGATATTGTCCTGAGACAAACAGTACCACACATCAGCACCTTAACCGTACGAAAATTTAGACGGCTAGCCGTTCAAAACCTTCCACGTCAAAATCGAGGTCAAATTTTTAGCCGGCACTGTCGAAAATTTGACCTGAGCTGTGTGAACACCATTTCCGTCTAAGTTTTTTTTATGGTAAATCCGCTGTTGCATGGATGCGTGGTTACTCAGTTGGGTGACAGTGTAACGGGTTTGGGTTTGTTATAGGAGTTCTCTGCGCATGAGCAGATGGTAAAACCCCTGACAAAAGTTAAAATTCAACCTGGTTCGTCAGTTCTGTGTGAACAGGGCGAAAATATTGAATGGTTTCGGGTGAACGAAAAGTCTGGTCAAATTTATCCGTTTGTTTTGCTTGGTTTTTATTTAGTTGTAGCTCTTGGCGGGTTTACAGTTAGCTAAGGCCCCTCGAGCAACTTTCGTTTAGTAACTTCCTGTAGGCAATAAAAGCTCCCAAATGTCATTAATATCCATGGTACAATGCTCTGCTATGCTGCCGTACATAGCAAAGAATTATAGTAATAAAAAGCCCCACAAATTGAATAACGAAGCCTGATTTTATGTATGGCACTTGAACAAGCCCTCTCATACCCAACCGAAATGATATAAATCAAGACAGCACTACACTACATGTATAGACTGAATGCTCTAATGAATGAGGTATTACAGCAACACAATGTAACCTATGGTTTACCTGCAAATCTGAATAGTCTCGGTTGTTTTGAAGCTGGGGTATCACTTGGGGATAATGGCCTTCTAACTTTGTCCAAAGATTGAAGTCTCTTTGATGAGTCTGAAATGAAATCAGTTTCGTGTTGATCAAATTATTTTTGCCAGTCGGAGATTTGCCACCTTACCTGTTTTTGTTTTCACCTGGGGAATGCACGTGTACAGTGCACCTTAACCTACGATCAATGTTTCAGACAGCGTTTTACTTCCAGCCGAACTCTATCGAAATATTCTCGTTTAGTTATCGTTCTAATAACACAGCTTTTTCTGCCAAAACGTAGGTGCAGTTCGGTTTGTGATAAGGTCTGCTTCTAAATGAGCACGTATTAAGAATGCTTTTAAGTTTAATGAGCGTACGGCATGTGTTTACTTTGTAAATGCATTTTAAATCACAAGTATTATGTATACATGTACATTTAGCCTGCGAATGCAGCCGCCTCTCAGACAGCATTCTCTTCCGCAAACATTGCCGATGGCAGGGAGCGTTGGGAGAAATGGCTTTATTTAAGGGCTAGCGTTCATTTCATTTTAAGTCTAATATATATGCAACAGAAGACGCAATACAACAGTACTTATTTTAACTGACCTTCTGAAGAGATCACTTTCATCCTTTCAACAAGTTTATCACACTGTTCCTTCCAGCTGTACTTTTTTGCATATGCCCCACGCACCAAATCAAACTCTCCAAGTCGCATCTCCCTGTCTTTGTGACGGACGGCTCTTATTGCACTAGCCCAGTCTTTTGGATCATCTGACATTACCACACAGCTTGAACCATGAGGAACTTTCTTTAAAGCTTCCGCAAGACCAGAGTTTCCACTGACCAAGACAGGCAGACCAGAAGATAAAGCCTCTAGCGCAGCAAGACCAAATCCCTCAGTTCGTGATGGCATTATAGCAAGATCTACTTCACAAAATAAATCATTTAGCTTCTCCCTACTTTCATTAAAACAACGTACCCTCAGTTGACTAGGACCAATGCCCTGCTCGACTAACTTCTTTGCTACTTTATCTTCTTCTCCCCGTGTTGCTCCAACAAACACAAGTTTATAGGTCGTGTCTTTCAACTCAGCAATGGCTTGGGCAGCGATGTCATATCCTTTTAGCTGGAAATCTTCACTGTCACCACGTCCAAAGACCAAAACATTGAATGAGTTTCTTTCTTCAGTAGCTTGACTAACATCAGCAAACTCAGAGAAAACCCCTGGGGTAAGATTGAGAACATCTTGATCTTTTCCACAAGGACGGAGATAACCGGAAAAAGCATCAGCCAGCTTGGGTCCAACTGCTACAACTTGATCAGCTAATTTACAGAGTTCAACCTCAACTTGGTGTTTCTCCTCACCCCTAGAAATGTGTTCTTCATATTCTTTGTACATCCCAAGTTCTTCTGGAGAGGTATGAACGACCTGAATCCACTTACAGTGATGATGCCGTTTTATAATCTGTACTTGCCGACCAAGAACGGCCCCATGTCCTATCACACAGTCCACAGCATGGTCTTCGGGCAGACAAGACAACCAGAGATCGGGTCCTAAACCTGGCATTTTTTCTGCTTCAATGAGATAGACATTGTGACTGGTAGCAACCCGCTTATATATCGTCTTCACTGCACTCAGGGAGATAAACGCTGACCTCCACGCTGGGATGTTTAGCCAACTGAATGGCCAGCTCTCGGTTGATGGTTGACAAGCCTCCTTTTGTTGATCTCCATTCACTGCTTAACAGAGTCACTCTCAATTTCCTGGAGGAAGTGGATCCTGAATTGCTTTCATGGTCTTCCTGTGATGTAGAGGCTGTGCTAGGAAAGGATGACATATCCTGAAAAAAGGGTAGCGAATTTTACAAAGGGCTTTATACATGTACTTGTAACAATGGCTTTTTACTACTGGTAGGCTCATGGAAATTGCAGTTAAGGGAAGCCTCTGTTTAAGGAAAAGGGACACTTTTTCTGGGTCCCGAAACCAGGATTTGCCCATTTATGCAGGGGACACTTTTGCAATCAAAATGTGACTGACTACAAAGAGGCTTGATTTTTTAAGTGTATACTTATCACAATTATGGAAGCTTTCACAAACAAAACTATCTCACTTAAATTGATGTAATGCACTTTTGTGTATTCACCATATACACTGTATAATGTAGTAGAGATAAGTTACTGATGATTTTTTTTATGTTTCCTCTCCCTTAGTTAATTATTAATAATCCCCAGCCCAACCTCTATTCAGAGGACACCTCTATTCAACAGACACTTTCCTCGGTCCCAAAGGTGTCCCCTGAATAGTAGTTCTGCTGTAAGTGAATAGCAGATGCATGCCTGAACAAGCCCTTCCAAAGCCCTTCTAGTTCCAGTACCAAGAAAGGAAATTGCCATGAAATAATGAATGTGGAAATTGCATGAATAATATTGAACAACACATTAAACAAGAGTCAAATTGAATTTGACTATTATAATCAAAGGGACAATTGTTTAGATAAGCTCACAATGAAAACACAACTACATGTACATGACAACATGCAGACTACCCGAAGTCTTATTATAGTTCGGTTACTCAATACATGTTCAGTGACACAAGGTCGTTAAAATTCAACAGTGAATCATGAAAAAGCTTACTTTAAAGCTTGCTTAATGACAAGTGACATAACATGGTTGGAAACATAACTAAAAATAGAAGCACTATACCGTGCTTAAAATGTTCACTCAAAAATATTATTTGGTTAAATGTAATTTAACTAAGTTAACCACCACGAGCTTAGCGGTCAAGCGGTCCACAAGCTTAGCAGTCAAGCAGTTCATAAGCTTAGCGGTCAAGCAGTTCACAAGCTTAGCGGTCAAGCGGTTCACAAGCTTAGCGGTCGAGCGGTTCACAAGCTTAGCAGTTAAGTGGTCCACAAGTTAAGTGGTCACATGGTTTGTGGTAGCGTTGTACACGGCTAGGATCTGCGAGTTCTTCATCGAGTGTTTGTGAAGTGGTCTGTGGAGCGGTTCATTTAGCGTCTTCCCCCCCTTCCATCCCTATTTTTTTTCCTTCCACTGTTTCATCAGTGTGATGGGTGCCTGAAATGGGGGCTCATGGCTGGGTTGCGGGGATTTGCCAACCATGGGGGCAGTTTTCTATCTAGGGACTGGCTGGCCACAGTGGAAGTTCCTGGGTATCCCAGGCACCTACCTTCCACTTAAGCGAGGCAGTTGGTTAAATGACAGACAGGGAACAAGTAATGTTAAAACTTAAAACCTGGATTAACTAAATTCAAAATGGATTTATAGACTTTGCAATCACTCGTACATGTATCTTACTGAAGTCTCGTCCTGCACTAAGGTAAAAACAGGTTCTACATTTGTTTGGCTTGATAAATAGATTTCTAGTGGGCATGGCAAATTGAAAAGTCTGGCACATAACATTAAAAGTGGTGTGTTAATGAATCAAAGAATCAAACAAACATTGTTCCACATTCTCATTCGCGCCCCCCAGAGCCTCCTTGGGGCCTGAACACAAGGACCAGGAGGCTCTGGGGACAAAGGATTTGAAGTCCTAGATGTTTAGGACTTCCGATCATTTCTGATTTTCTACAACGTTTCTAATAGCATTCACTTGCTCTTGCAGAAGTGTCAGTAACTGTAAATCTGGATGATTCAAAGCTTTTAAAAGAGAATCCTCCAACTTACTTTTGAATCAGAAATGATGTCCCCAGAGCCTCCTGGTCCTCATGCTCAGGCCCCCAGGAGGCTCTGGGGACGAGAATGCCAAATGCTTCCGAAATTCAAATTCACCCAATAACTAGAGGGCAGGTATCACCATCAACTCAACACCAGGGCCTTCGGGCCCACATACCATGCATATAAGTTGCAATAACAAAAGCATCCCAAAAATGTGGACAGATTTTGGAAAAACCCCACTATACAGTTTAATTATCACCGCCGCCACCCAGAGCCACGACTAAAAATTCTTTAACTTTACGTTGAAGATACTAAGAAAAATCAACCTTGGTTTGACCAAAACTTAGTAACTTAACAAAATAAAATGTTCAAATTTTGTTAATACCTCCATCAGCCTGGACATCAGAGGAATCCTAAAACTCCTTTAATGCGGATTCTATAAGAGGAACAGAAAAAGTAAGTAATGTATTACTTCAATAGTGGTGTAAAGTTATCTTTTGCCATTCAACACTTTTTTTGTGCAGATTGACAATTTTTGGTATTTTATTGTCACTAACTTTTGAAATTAGCACACTCTGGATTTTCTAACCCAAAATTGACTCATACAGTTCTTCGCAATGAAAAGACACCAGAGATTCCAACCCTCCTCTTTTGGCCAGAAACCTCCCATTTACAGCACACATTTCCGGCCTACCATTTTCGCTTAATATTCTCCTGGTTTTTAAAACTTCTTTGTTTAACCAGTATTTTTAGCACAATTCTTTGACGTTTTTCTGGGTTTCTCAGCCATATCATTTTCACCATCATGGGATCCGAGCAAAAGAACCTGCAATAATTTTGGATGCGGTAATACAATGGATTGCTTCGACTTTGTGTAAGGTTTGCATTCATTTGTGGTCTCAAAATGTCTTAGAGGCACATTTTTCACGGGGGAGCTAGAGGTTGGCGCCTTCATCACTCATGGGAGCAGCTATGCTGGTTCTTAAACCTCCCTTTTTTAGTTGACTGGGTTGGAATCTCTGAGACACTGTTTATTAAGACACAAAATACAGGCATCCAAAAGATAATTAGTAAAAATAATTATAATGATAATAATAACAATAATAATAATAATATCATAGCCATAAAACTATAAACATGTACATATTTAAAGCACTAATAAATTAAAGCTGACAAACACCAACACATAACAAACAGTACACTTTGAGAAAATGAAAATAAAAACACTGCAATCACTGTACACGAATTGGTGAGAGTGTTCCACAGTGATTGGCCAACACGTGCAAAGCACCTGTCCCCAAGGGTCTCAATGCACTTTGCTTTGGGACCTTTAATTCTTAGCTGGGATTGGATCTTAAATTGTATGAACCACCCTCCTTGAAACTTATATATTTTTACAAGTTCGATGAAATGTTCCCGTCCGATCTGTATGGGCGGTGGATTATTAGTTAATGCCTGTGCAGATCTCCAACTCACAAATATATATCTTGTATATGTACTGTGCACAGTACAAGATGAAAATACGTTTTGTAAAGTGACACAAGGTACAGTACCATAAGTTATACATACTCGTGTAGATAGTGATACATGTACGTGGCACTTAGGTGCAGCTTTGCATTAGGGATGGACCATTAGAAAAGGTATGCATGGAGGAGGTGAGAAGTATTTCATCTCTATGATGTATCATCGAAACACTTCTTGAGAGTGTAATGAAGAGTACTCTATTTGTAATTACTGGTCGTTAAAATACGACTCTATAAAGAAAGCTATGTGTGTGTTGTCAAGTGGGTACCTACTCAATTAGCATTTTGTCAACTCTAGACACTGCAGATATTTTAAAAAAATCAACCACATGTACATCTAGTCTCAACATTTGTTAATTACCTTAGAAGATGTAGCATTGCAATAATAATGTTTTTCTTGTTAACTGGGCGGCCTGTGGTAAATGGGTTTCTCTTTTTTCTCGGGGCGGGGGGGTATTTCTGGGAAATAGAAGTGGGGGTGCACCGTCTGCCTCATCTCATCTTTACTCTATTTCAGAGCCATATCTATAAGGTTAATGTAAGAGAGTTCCTCCCCTGGGATAAAACGGACAAAGGAATGTCTTGGGGAATGGGCTCATTGTAGATCACCATGTCAAAAAAATATAGGACAGTTAGAAAGGCTTTATAACACAATATCAGACAAAAACAAAACTCAAATTTAATTTGCTTTGTTAGTTTTAAGAACCAGAAGAAATGTACTGCTTGTTATTAACAGCCTTTTCACCCGTAACAACAATATCTTTTGGAATTTCTAGTTAGGTGAAATTAGTCACACTATATTTTGGGGAGCAGAGGAATTGGGGGAGGGGTGCGTTAAAATAACGCTTATTTTTTCCTGCTTAGAATGGCTCACTTGCTTATTTTTATTCATAATTATAATGGTGGAATTTGAAAAGGTACTATACAGCCCCGACTTAAAAATGGTACTCATTTTTCTTGTTACCAAACTCTTCCAACTTAGATAGTACACACGCTCTGATTGGCCGAGAGGAGTGTTTGCATGAGAGTATGTAAACATGGTTGTGGCATCAAAATGTTTTACTTTTTGTGCGCTCATCACGCAAGCACGAATTTAAAAAAGGTTTTCAAGTTCAAAACTCGACTTTAAGTTTACTTTATTTGCCCATTCCTTCGTCAGCTGAAACTTGGAAAATCGTTACAAAGAGGGTGTGTCAATTGTTTTTTGCTTAGGCTGACATTTTGAGCGAGAAAAGTCCGTATTTTGGAAAGCATTGTTTTGGAAAACAAGAACTGATTACGTGTACAAGACTTTGTGGACAAGACTTTGCGACTGAGAAGAATTTCTCTTTTAATCAGTGCCATACAAAGAATTTTGCATTTTTTC